ACTCGCACACGTACAAACACCCACACCCACACAGGACACACAGCCATGCTAAGTCAGGGGTCTCGAGGTTTCTTGCCTCCACGAGCACGAGCAAGGGCTGTGGGCTTGGTATTCTCATCAGAGTTATCAGCTTCCGTGTCCTTCTCGGAGCTGTCGGGCTCGGGCTTGGTAACCTGGTACATAGGATGACAGGTTTCCTTTAATAGCTCGGAACAGCTGACCTATTGCTTGCACTACACTGTAGCAATCCAAGGGACCTTGAGCGGAGTGCCGTAGACATCGTCCTTATCGAAGAGTTAATGCATGCAAAATACAGAAGTTGCAACAACATCGAACCGTTGGTGCTACCATAGTGCATACGTGATTCCGTAGGCTTGCAATCCTCCTCGGCCGAAGAAACCTCGATCATGTTGAGATGCAAAGCATACTTGAGCAGCTCGTCGTCGGTGTCCATTGCGAACTCAGGTGCTGGATCAAGGCTCAAGACATGGACCTGCTCAGGAGGCGGATCCTCAGCATTGTCGAAGCAACCTAGCAGGGACTTCCTTGGTGTGTCCTTGGTTTTCGGCAGTGATCCTGTAGCTCCTTCGAGAGTACTTGACAGCTTGGGGGGCGAAGCTTTTGGGCTCGGCTTAGGCCTGGAACACGGCTTGGGGGGCGAAGCTTTTGGGCTCGGCTTACGACTGGAACACGGCTTGGGGGACGATGCTTTCGGGTTCGGCTTAGGACTTGCCAGCTTGGGGGGCGAAGCCTTCGGGGTGCTTTTGCGGCTTGCCGGCTTGGGTGGCGAGGTCTCCGAAGCCGTAGTCGGGGTGACCAGCTTCTGGGTCGACCGGAAAGGTGTCGGCAGCGAGTCGGAAGGGAAAGTAGGCTGAGCATCTTCCCCAGCATCCACCACTGGCTCATGCCCCGACGAAGTAGCCCCACCACTAAGCGGAGGGCTCCTGCTGCTGGGTTTGGCCTTGGGTCGCTGCTTCTCGGGAGTAGCTTTCTCCTTTCCTACATCCTCATCCCCAAGCACTGCCTTGGATCGTTTCTTTCGAAGCTTCGGCCTCTTGCTTGGAGGCTCTGTCGTCTCCAGATCAGCATCAGGAGGAGGCGGGGTCACCATCTCATTCTGCTGAAGCTGAAGCTGCTCCAGATTCTGTAGAAGTTCCTTTGCCTCCTGCACACATATATCAGCACAGAGGGTTGATGTAGTGTAGGGTTTAGGGTTTGGGGTT